GATCGCCCATAAGTTCTCAACAATTTGGCATCATATACTAGGCTCTATAATGTATTATGATCATGTACGATGTATTATGATGTTTCACAATGATCTTCATGATCAACAGCGAAACATTTAAATTACATGGAATACTTCAAACGTTTCAATGGACTCTTCGCTCACTTTAAAGGTACGGCATTCATTGCAACGTCACATGGCAGGTCACGGTTAACGAATGCGACGTCCGCCACCTGATTTCAAGGCGTATTGTTCCACTCATTTACCCTCAGTAGCCCGGATAATGGGCTTTTTGGAAGTCACGGCTCCATGGCATTTGAGCACTTCCTGTGCCGGTGATACACAATATACCATACCACGTTATTTTGTTGCTACAGAACAACTTTTCCCATAAGACAGTAGGATCTACATCACCGACTTAACATGTTTTTCAAATGGAGCAAACGCGTGATGTACGGCTTGAAATGTTGGTCTGAACATTGCATTCTTAGCATTTGCCTCAGCCATATGAAGACCAAAAGAACGGAGGAAAAGATATAAGGTTCGAGGTCAAAGTTCCCATGCTTATTTGGGTCAGTTTAAATCGGAAAAAAACTGTCTTAAGGAAAAAAAAGATGAGCATAAGAGAACCATTATCAGAAGGAAGAAGAACGCTGAAACAAGAAAAAAAAGCTAAAGCTACCAAGCAATAGGTAAAAGAGGAAAGAAGCAAAAGATCTCAAGAGCATCACAGCAGAATTTGAAGAAAAACCTCTGCTATACTAAAACATATCGCATACGATATCTTAAAATAAGATGAGGGTCGTCGCGTAAGTAAAATTAATATCTTACCCGTAACGTCAAAGAAGCTAGACTGATTCTCTCAACTGACCGTGTCAGTCAGTCACCTCGACGGAGATGATAACGAATACGTGGATTAAAAACATCAACGGATTCTTAGGATAAACGACAAACGTGGCAGCTTCCCACTTATTCGAAACAACCCCAACTGCATGAAAATAATCCACTTGGCGCAAACCTGACTGTAGCTTCGAAGACAGACCAACTTTGGTCCTAAAGGTCAATTTGTAGTTCAAAATTGAAGTATGCAAAACGTTAATGCGTCGTTTTCCCGTTTGTGACATTCCGGAACGGATTGTTCTGTTCGACAAGATACGACAACACGTCATACTACACTCTGGTAAACCATAGCACAATAAGCGTTCAACCATTAATATACCACAAGACTGAATAGGGTAGCATACTGTTTTAGAGTGATGTGGTAGAAAATAGTATAACATATTAACTTAATATTGTATATTATATATCGAATAATTTCAGTACATCATATTAAAACAGTTTTCTATGCCACATGCTGCGGATTGCTTAAGATACGTGACCTGTACGTGTAGTTTAATTTTTTAGATCGCGAAATTTTATGTGAGCTGCTAGAAGCTCGAAGTGTACCGGAAATGCCGCTAAGATTTTAAATTATTTACATAGTAATCAGTAAAGACATCGTGAACATCTTTAGCAACAAAATTCTCCACAACATTAAGTAACCTAACCTACTTCCTGTCACATGCCGAATTTATTAGTCGTAGTTGCAACGCCGTTATGCTCCTATTCGCCTAGGGGTCCGTTTAAGCAAACCAGTGATCGATGGCAGAATAGCAGAAGCACTGCAAGGACGCGAAATCATGTCGGTCTATTGAGTCGCGTACAACTAATGCCGGTATTTTGCACTTTCTATCAAACAGCTGGTTATCGACACTTCCAGAATAAAAATAACAGAATCTTGTCACTAATCGGAACTGACAAGCATTCACACCGTGTCTTTGTTTCTAATGGCTCCAGGGGCCCACATGAACCCAGTCACACGATGTTATCGAATGATGATATTTTCACAAGCGACGTTTTCACCGTCAGCACGTATTACCGGGAAGAAATTGTCCGAAAGAGTGACGAGGACTGTCGTAACATTTACAATGAAAAAAACCACAAATCGAGATTCTGAGAACTTAAACGGAACGTCCCTGGTTTCGCCAACAGTCAACGGACTAAGCACTAATCGCGACAATAGAATCAACAATTTCGAAAGCGGTCGAGTTACACACAGGGAAAAGTTTTAATATTAAGCTATAGTCAAAGGAGACTAATGAAAAATAAGGCTAGCGGCGAGCGTCAAATCGCCGTCGTTAAATTCCCATTAAGTCTCCTATCAAAAAACCATGAACATGCCGCAAAACGAGGAGGAGAGTTTTCAAGAGTTACTATCGATCAGAGGAAGTTACGAAGTGCGAGGAAAAATGAACGAAGGAGCAATAGAGGAGGCAACGACAACTTTCGTCTGGCACCGTCGAAAGTGAAGAATAAAGCGACGTCAGTTCATTA